ATAATAGTTTATGTCTACCTAACGGTTACATCTTTATGCTGTTTATAGCTCAAGGCACACTAGAATTTTGCCATGGAGTTTACCATTAGGTGTAGTTATAAATAGTCTTTTTGGTAAGTTTGAGAAATTTTGATTAACTTTCTAGATCTGATTAGATTATTTTAACAAAAATCAGAATTACCCCAAAAGACCTAAAATTCTGTGGTAGGCCATGTCCGTTCTGCCATTTTCTGCTCATTTTGATTGCAATTTAACGTTAGCATCTATAGAGGACTTCCAAGCAGATTTTCTTTTAAAAAGTAATTGTCTATTTTGTGAGGTTTAGTTTAATTTAGAATATAATCTGTAAATCACAGTAAGCTTCTGTAAACTTAAATACCTTGCCAGAAGCTAAAAGAAAAAGAAAAAGAAAGGGAGCTAGCTGTTCCCAGTTCTTCCTCTGGGGACCTCACCCAAGCAACAATCGATACTTAACTAACATATAAAAATTGTAGATGCAGAATTTAATGTGTTTTTCATATTCCAGCCCTGCAATACAACAGTGATCAGTGGATAGATTGCTCCACCATCACCTACCTGCTCTGTTTGATCATTACCCATCGCATTAGGTCGACATCGAGACAGCTGTGCCAATCCCCATATTAAACAGCAGACAACTTAATTTCGTTGTTATCCAGATAATAGTCATTTTAAGGAGAAATTCTGATGTTTTCTACCTGTGGTCAATTGATCATTCTGCCCCAGCTCTGGAGCACCTCCCACCACTTCTATTCCACACCCTGCTCTTCCCTGCCTTGAAGACCACTAGCCTGGAAAATAAAAAATGCCCCTAGAGAAGGAGGAATAGTAATGGGCAGATTCATTTTTCCCTGCCTCTCATAAAAGGAAGCCAGGACCCTTTTAGTTTCTCTTTTATTTAGTTCCCTGTGGTCTGCTTCTTCCTCTAATGTACACAGCCTCACACCGTTTTGAATTCTCTCCCAGCTCTGGTCTAAAGTAATTTTGGTGCTGAAGGGCAGAGGGAGGGAAGCTGCACGCTTAGAGTGGCCATGTAATACTCAACGGCTGATCTCTTCTGACATTTATCTCTGCTCGTGAGAGGAGATGGAACAGCTCACTCATGAAGATGAATGTCATACAAGAGCTCTGCCATCATGCATCCTTCTGCGGGATCTCGGGAGAGAGATTTGGTGTTATATGGAATATTAGAAACGCTGCAGACACAGGGAAGCCTGGCAACTTGGCTGCTCTGCATTATTAGATCCTGTTAAGTGAAATGATGCACCTTGTTAAACTGAGCCATTGTCGCTATAAGATTATCTAATCAATTCTCCATCATGGCATTTGCTTATTTTATGCACCCACTGGAAAAAAAAATGACTTTCCGGCATATTTTTAAGTACAAATGGAAATAGCGTGAGTTCATGACTATTGCCTTTGTGTACTTTGTTCCTTGCTTCATTGAAGTCTTTATGATGATAAAGATCCTTCCAAAGATAAATGGTTCAGGGAATGGAAAACCAAACAAAAAGCCTTTTAGCTGTGAAGTTGCTGGATGTACCCGGCCCAGGTCATCTTTGACCCCAGATGACCAATAGGATCCAGCTAATCTTCAAGAGCACACCTGATTTTCACCAGGCTACTTCTCCCCTAGACAAACTGATTGGAGAGAGGAAGTTCTTTGACTCAAACTTCAACCACTTATTAATGGTGTGGCCTTGGGCAAATTCAACCGACTTCTCTAACCTCAGATGCTTCATCTTAAAATGGGGTAATAATGGTATCTACGTAATAGAAGTGTTTCGAAGATAAAATGATGAGATAAAACACATGTAAAGATTAGAACAGTGCTTGCTTCGGCAGCACATATACTGAAAAATTGGAACGATGCAGAGAAGATTAGCATGGCCCCTGCGCAAGGATGACACGCTAATTTGTGAAGTGTTCCATTAAAAAAAAAAAAGAACAGTGTCTGGTGCACAGTAGGTGTTCAATGAATGCTATCAATTACTTTTAATGATGAGTCAAATTATCGTAATTGTATCAAATACCAATGATAAAATCATAGTATAGGATCATTTTATTAGCTCATTTGAATTATTTTACACTTTTTTCTGTTATTTTAGACTCCAAGTTCATAGTCAGCTCTGATTTGTGAAGATTAAAACTTCAGATTCTTACTTGCTACAGTGGGCATAAGACATCTTGTCCATTTTTATCCATTCCTAAGAAGCAGGTGATGTAAAAAAAAAAATCTTGGTTTCTGAGCTAAGCCTGCAACTTGGGTTGAATCCTGTTTACTGTACTTATGTAGAATTCCCGTAGACACTTAACCTCTGTGAGCCTTCATTTCCATCTGTAGAATGTGTGTAATAATTAATACTCACCTTGAAAGGATGCCATTAGGATTGGAAATAAAATACATTGAGCATCCTAAGTTATTACTCCTGGAGTCTTAGGTCCACTTATATCAATTTTAGCTGCATAGCTGCTATGTCCGGGCAATGTGGGAAGCATGAAGGTAAATGAATAAGGAGGTCCCTGCCGTAAAGTATTGGCCATGAGAATACGAGTGATAAGGGAACTATCAGGGAAGGCTTCCTGAAAGAGGAAATACTTGAGTTGAATCTTGAAGGATGAAGAAGACTTCGCTAAATAAGAAAGATGGAAAGGGCTTTGCATACGAAGCAAGAACATGGGAACAGTTTAACATGGGAAGGATGAACATGGCTGTCTTGCAAACATCGCTTGATGTGTCCACATCATAATTGGGAAAAGAACTTGTTAATGGGGTCTCACTTTATCATGGATGAATTGAATTGTAGCGAGCCAGGTGTTTCACTTTAGAGATTTGTCAAACATTTGGCTTTGAAGAAGGTGATCTTGGGAAAGTTTAAAGGCCTCTGCAGAGGAAGGTGTGCTGGAAGTGGAGTCAGTCATCTCCTGGACCACTCCTGCTATAAGGTGGCTGCCAGGAGACTCCAGTGGAGACGCCTGACATTTGCTTTAGGTTCAGCCAGCGTTTAGACCCCAGACGAGGGTTCTAACTGAATTTCCTTCAGCTGAAAGTCATTCTAAATAAGGTGACATTCAGGTTTTTTTTTTTTTTTTTTAATTCAAGCTGTATGTAACCATCCTGGAGAACGCTTACTTGTTGGTGGGGAGCTGTTAGTCTTGCTCAGGAGAATTTAACATCGCCGTGTGCAGGGGTAGGATGTTAGGTGAGAGAGAGAGAGGGAGTGAGGGGGAGAGAGAGAGAGAGAGAGAGAGAGAGAGAGAGAGAGTGTGTGTGTGTGTGTGTGTGTGTGTGTTGGGGGTGTGAGAAGGCAGATTTGACATAGTCAAAACTCCCATTTGAATTCCTTACACTTCCCTTAAATCTTGAGCCCATGGAAGCTCATAGCCCATTTTATTTTTTCTTCCCATTTCACTGCAGCTGCTCTTTCCTTGGAGTCTAGGTGTGGTCTGAATGAGGGTAAGAATGTGGAGATAAATATATGGATTTTATTTTTTCTCTCTTTCTTGCTCTCTCCTGTGGTTGAATGTGGTGAGGTTGAGTTTGTGTAGGCGAAATGTGCTTGTGATGTGAGTTTAGTGTGCTAAATAGTGCAGTGGGGAACCTAAAAAGAAGCAAGGCCCATGCCGAATAAGACCAACCCTACTCGCCTTTAGGGATACCTGTTATTCTTGAGTCAAGCTACAGGCTCTGTCTCCACTGTTTGTAGGTGAACAACTGGGGACAGTGAGGCACAAGGTGCCTGTTTCCATCAGCCTTTACATTCATGAATATGTGCATATGTGTGTGTGCACTCACACGTATATGCTTACAAGTGAGGCATTCTTCCATGCTTTGATTGGTTATCCCTGGCTTATTTTATTTCAATTGCTATTCCCTGTAAAGAGAAGTAATTGACTAGCATTTGTTGTTCAGCAAGGTGTAAACTGAGTATATGTTTGCACGGAGCCTTTACAAGGAAAATCAGAAAGCAAATACGAGGTAGAGCATATGTAACTTGCATGCTTTCTGAGCTACCATCTGCTTCTTTACATATTTTCTAATAACCAGAGTCATAGCTTTTGGAGAAACTTCAGAACTTTGGGGCAATCTGGCAAAATAGACCCAATTAGGCACCAAGATTCACATCACACCATGTGGGAAGACACCCTTTTGATATTTCTATTTCTGTAGGCACAAAGGAAACGGATTCTATCAATACGATGCCAAAAACCTGGGTGTGATGGCCACTTGGGGCTTACATTGTTACATGTGCCCCTTTCCCTAGCATGATCAAGGCTCCAGGTTGCCATGTTGACAGCAGCCCAGACAAGATAAGGGCAGCAGGCCGTAGTCAGTGCACTACCAGCTTCCCTTAGTCCTGGTCCTTGTTGTTTAAATATTGAAAAGCCACAAAAGCATGAGAAATAAAATGGTAGATTTTCTGTATCTTTCTTCCATGCTTGCTTTTTGCTTAGGTTGGGACGGGCATGAAGGTAGCAAAAAGGCAGAAACCCGTGTTTACCATATGATATAACCCATGTTTTTATATTTCTCAAGAACACACAAGAATAATCACCTACTATTTCTTCCCTTCCCCTTCCTTCCCTTTCCCCCAATAAAACCAAAAGCACAACGGACTAGTAAGCCAGCGTTGTAAATGTTCAAAGGTGGAATTACATCTCTTGGTGTCCGGGTGTATTTTGCATTATAATGCAGCCTTGATGATAACATTTCTCAGGAAAGCCTGCGCAGCTGTCTCAGCATCAACTGGCGGTGTGTGGGGAAAATATTGCTCGGAATGGACTTCTGGGTGCAATTTTCTTTGATACTTTCTCTGAAGTATCAAAATTGGTTCTTCATCTTTGATAAAGGAAAATGTTCACTCTCAAGCCTTAAGAAGCTGAACCACATTTGAGGTGACAAATATATTCCTTTGGGACTAAAGTATTGTACAGTAGAAAGAACAAAGCCTCTACAGCCAGAGAGATCTGGGTCTCATTACCTTTACCCTTTAGCCTGGAGCCCTTTGGAAAATTAATTTCTTTAAGCTTTTGTTTCATCATCCTCCTGATGGGTTGCTGCAATAATAACATAAGATGACATATGTTAAATGTTGAATTGGAACTCAGTATATCATAGGATTGCTAATAAATCTACTTGGCAGATGGAGGGGAAAGGAAGGAGTTGTACCCTATATGGTCTGGGGAGAGACAGGGATTGGGGGAACCCAAATTTGGGTAATGAAGGTTTATGTCTGCAGCGAAAACCCAGGAAAAACAGAACTTTTCACATTTTCCTCGATTTTCTAGCTCAATGACTCTATAGCCCTCATTTTCAGACAGAGCAAGGAAAGGCCTATAGCATATATGGCACGATTGAGAGGCAGACAGGCCAGGCTACACGTTGCTGAACTGACTCATGACCTGGCAGTAAGTTCACTTGTACATTTCCCTTTTCTCAGTCTCACCCACAGAAATGTTTCAAGTGAAGGCTGTTGTGCCAGTACAGTACATAGCACATGAAATTTATAGCATCCAGGACCCTAAGTGAACCCGCACCAAACTCCCACCTCTCCTTGATTTTCTTCTCTTTTCCTCTCTCTTTAGAAACCACTATCGCCAGAGTAGAGCTGCTGCAGGCGGAGTGTCTGGGAAGTGCTACTATACCCTCTCCTTTGCCGTCAGCTTCCCACACAATGAGGATGTCTGCTACCTGGCCTACCACTATCCCTATACCTACACAGCCCTCATGGTAACTGTCTCCTGACATCGTCACTCCAGCAGGACTGAAGGGGCTCTCTGAGGTTTTCCTGAGAACATTTAGGAGACCCTGACATCATAATGGGGGGTGTAGAGGGGTGTAGGGAAACTACAGCTTTCCTAAGGGAGCCGGGCTGTGTTGTCACTGACTTGGTGGCTTACTGTGTGTCCCATCTTCTTCCTTGGACAGAGCACAAGGCCGAGCCTTGATCAGTGACATTCTGAAGGCCCAAGTGGTCTGCAATTTGGGGCAGGACATGGGGGCATTTCTTAAGAGACTATCTTTAAAAAGTCAAGTTAAGTATGAAGTAGGTTGGAGGTGTATGGGGATTAAGACCACGCAAGTGAGCTGAGATGCAAATCTGAAGAAAATTCAATCATTCAGAGGAATGGAGAAGGCAGGAAGGTAGAGCTTGGGGAACTTATGAGTCTGTGTGCAAGCCGCCATGCCAGCATCTCCAGTGCTTCTGATGGCCGTGAGCTGGAGGCTGCTAGAAGGATCCAGGGTGGAAGAGAAAAGTTTGAGAATAAAACACTAGATCCTTGCAACAGAGAACCACAATCTTTTTTACGAGGGAGTGCAGCAGAAGTCAGTGCAGGCTCACAGTTAGCATTCCTGTGTTCCATAAGGCCCTGCAAAAAGTTCACAAGACAGTGCTCGCTTCGGCAGCACATATACTAAAATTGGAACGATACAGAGAAGATTAGCATGGCCCCTGCGCAAGGATGACACGCAAATTCGTGAAGCGTTCCATGTTTAAAAAAAAAAGTTCACAAGACAATTGTGAGCAAATGGACTGCTTCAACCGTGCAGTTTTCTGTCATTTGAAAAAACTGGCAAACTATCCCTTACCACTAGCCATTTCATGGGTATCCTGAGGATAAATGAGCTCCAGTATCTTCTTTTTTTTTTTTTTTGAGACGGAGTTTCACTCTTGGTACCCTGGCTGGAGTGCAATGGCGCGATCTCGGCTCACCGCAGCCTCTGCCTCCTGGGTTCAGGCAATCCTCCTGTCTCAGCCTCCTGAGTAGCTGGGATTACAGGCACACGCCACCATGCCCAGCTAATTTTTTGTATTTTTAGTAGAGACGGGGTTTCACCATGTTGACCAGGATGGTCTCGATCTCTTGACCTCGTGATCCACCCGCCTCGGCCTCCCAAAGTGCTGGGATTACAGGCTTGAGCCACCGCGCCCAGCCGGAGCTCCAGTATCTTCTATAAAGCACTTTCATCTTCAGTGTTAATATAAAATGTTATTAACATTTATAATCATGTGTGTATATGAGTATCTATATCACTTAGCCTGAAGGATGTGCATTTTCATTTTAAGGCTGTGATAAGGAGTTGGGAAAGAAAATAACCAAGGACATCTTTTCCTCCAAAAGGAATGTGCAGGTATAAATGGGAATTTTTCTCATAGCGAAGGCATATCTCGAACCACTTGGCTCACCGCTGCATGAAAGTGCATCTGTCCTCTTCTCCATATGCTGTCTTGCCTAAAGAGAGATTTTTACTGTTTTCCAGATTGCAAAAGAGACACAACTAGTATTATTTGTGTATCACACTCAGAGAGCTCAAGAAGTTAATCCAAGTAATGTGCATCACAAGCTAGGCTGTAACAAGCCACATTTGTTACAAAACATGTTTTGTTGCCTTTAGGGACACAGAACAGGCAAGATTCATGATTCCCTTCAACAGCTGTTTTTACGGTCTTGCCTGTGAAACACTGCACATGAAAAGTCTGCCATGGGCTGGGCACAGTGGCTCACTCCTGTAATCTGAGCACTTTGAGAGGCCAACGTGAGAGGACTGCTTGAGCCCAGAGTTCAAGACCCGCCTGGGCAGCATGGTAAAAACCCCATCTCTACAAAAATACAAAAATTAGCCAGGCCTGGTGGTGTGTGCCTGTAGACCCAGCTAGTTAGAAGGCTGAGATGGAGGATCACTGTAGTTCAGGAGGTTGAGGCTGCAGTGAGCCAGGATCGCACAACTGCATTCCCTCATGGGCAACAGAGTGATACCCTATCTAAAAAAACAAAAAGAAAAGAAAAAGAAGTCTACTAGGGAAGGGGACTCATTTTTAAATATGTGTTATGTGTCTGCCTTTCCCATTGGGTAAGGGATCATGGAACTAGGACACAGTTCTTTTCACTTTTTAGAATATCTTGGACTCTGATGAGGTTCCTGGTGGGCGTTCGTATAAAGCATTAGAACTCAAAGGGGTTGGGGAAGTTGTCTAATTCACCCTTAACATTTATAGATGCAAAAACTGAGGCCAGAAGTCCCCCAGTTAGCTAGCAGCCATGCAGGAACAGGACATCGGTCTTTGAGGTATATTCCTGTGGTCTTTCTACTTCACTGCAGAAAAGTGTAGAAGAAATTCAGAATTTCTGCTCTGGAGTCAGATCAGGGTCATGGTTGGCTATGGCATTCATAAGCTACTAAAACATGCAGTCCTGTTTTATGAGTACGTGTAGTCATCATTGTGTGATGATACAGGCATCTCTAATGGTTGAATTCAGATCAACAACCCACACTTTATATCTTTAATTCTGAGTGCTGTGGATGTGGTTCAGCTGAGGGATAAGGTCTCTTTCCAAACATGGTCTAATGCTTACCCCAAGATGCTCTGATGGACTCTTGCTGGGTGCCTACAGGCTGATTCAAATTGGGTAACCCTTTCAACCCAACCTTGACTTGATGGCACCTAGTTGTTTACCTCGTGCCTCTGGGCCTGGTTACCTTCTGGACACAGATTCAGATCAGAACACAGGGTCTAAAGTTTGCAATTGATAAATAACTCTAAGAGCCACCCAGTGTGGGTGGGTGGGGGGATCAATGAGGAGATGATTTCATCTTAAAAGGAAACAAAAAGACAAAAAAAAAGAGGACCCCCTCTCTCCACCGTCACTTAGTTTCACTGAGAGGGAGAGAGAGGTTTGTTAATTAATGCTTATTGGCTTGTTACTGTTAATATTATTAACTATTACTGTTCCTATTTATAACAATAAGCTATAACTGCTTATGACTTTTTATTGTTACTTGTGAGCCTATTGACTATGAATGTCTTCCACCAGGGGAGTTTGTGGAGAGTTAATGAGAAAGTAGGATAACTTATTTCTCCTAAATGAGCAAAACAGGGTTAGAAAGACAGTTTGTTACTTTAAAGTGACAAACGTGTATTTTCAGTTTAAGGTTTTACATTTCCAATAACTCATGGTCTTCGTCCTCTCTAGGTTTAAGACAATAATTGACTCTGTGACTTCTCTTAAAAAAACTCTTCCTCTCATCATGGACAGAATGAGTACATTCTGTAATGCGCACTAGTCATTTTTATTTTTGGACATGTCCTGAGGAGAAACAGTTTTTCTTCCAACAGATCAGTGATAAATTAAATGTGAATGATACCCCAAGGGCAGAATTAACTGTATGTTACTTGGGGGTTATGGTGAGGGGTAGAAAATACGTTTCCATGTGGAGTTCATAATTTGCAAGTCTCTTATAATATGGATTACATTTAATAATTACAGACATTTTTATAGAGAAAGACTTGTGTGTTGGATGTTTTTCAATGTGAATACAATTTTGAAACTTTCAAGATTGTATTATTCTCTTATAATAAGGGAATTAGTATTTGGTTCTTTCAAATGGATATCTTCCAGATGCTTGCCAGCAAGTCTGTTGGTAATTGTTCATATTATAGCATTAACATACAGCTAAAAGAAAGAAATACACTATTGTAATTCTGAAGCATACAAAAAGAGCTCTATTTTAATCAGCTGTATCAAGTTATCAGTAATTGTAATGATGGTTAAAGTGTTAGCAATACTCGTTAAAGTATTAGAATTATGTTATAAACAGCCCCTAGGTAGCCAGTAGTATTGGTGGAAAATGGGACCCCAAGAGAGTTTCTGATGAGTATTTTAGGAGGTAAAAATTTGGAATCTTACTGAGAACTTAAAACTGCATGAATTGACAAGAGACAAAAAGAAAAAAAAAAGTGGTCATTAATAGAGTCCAGGTATTGGGAGAGCTTGAGGATCTTAAAGAATAAGAGCAGAATTTTTAGCAGACACATGTACCCACTGTGTAAGATGTGAATACAGTTATCTCCAGAGATGGTGGTGGGGTGGGGGAGGGTACGAGAGAGAGAGACGGAGAAAAGAAAGAAAGAAAGAAAAAAAATGAATTAGAATGCCACATGCACAATATCTTATAAATGACTCAGTAAATGAGTTTAAGAAGTGTCAAGTGGAAAATGTTGACTTACGTATGTGGCAGATCAAAGATGCAATGAGCAGGTCATAAATCAACACTGTCACTTAATCAGTAGACAGAGATCCATCCTTGTATGGGCCAAACAAAAGACAGGCCTCAATAAAGGCTCTTGATGGAAAGCCATTCTGAGGAGCCAACATGTTCATGAACGGGAAAGTCTGTGACCACAAGGACATCTGAATTCCAGGGTCTCGGGCATAATGAAAGAAAGCTTTTGAGATCAGACAGGCCTGGATTTTAGTCTAGGTGTTGAGTTTCCTTGCTGTGTAGCCACAGGCAAGCTATTTAACTTCTCTTAGCCTTGGTTTTCTCGTCTGCAACACTGGAAACAAAAAAGCAGTGACTACATAGGCTATTTTGAAGATTAAATAATTGCTGTATGGAAAATGTTGGCAGTGTCTATGGTAAGCAATATTAGATGGTAACCATTGAAGCATTTATTATTTTTTCAGATGATGTGTGATTATTTTCTCTGTGGGACTGATTGGAAGATACCCATTCCATAATTTATACTAAAGTTAACACTTTGTAAAAAAAAAAAAAAAAAAAATCCAAATGAAAGACCCCTCCTCAAAAATTACAAAGGCTAATGATGGTTTTCTTAGGGTCTTTGATTATGATTTTTTTTTCTTGCTCTCTTTTCCAAATCATCATACTATAGCTTTGTTTATTGTTTATGGACAAGGAATATTAAAACCATCTTTTCTTTATAATTGGCAAATCTGTGAGCAGATA